GTTCGTTACAGTGTTGTTTTAGCGCGAGTATTGAGATTAAGTGTATCGCAGAGTTGTATTCGGAAAGAATAAACAAGTTTTTATTAAGAAAGAACTTGTGTCGCTTAAGTTTCGTCGGAACGAAGTTACGGAAAATCAATTAACAAACGGAGACGTAACAATATATTTATATTATTGAATATTTCAGTGCGATAACAGTCGTTGCTGTTATCCATACAAACCTAAAGCTCGGAATGCATCAAAGGTTGTGTGGAATAAATAACGTTACTGCACGAGTTCAGTTTTTGTCTCATCTGATTGATAATATCCTAAATAAAAAAAACATATGCATTTCGCTATTTGTTTTCTTAATTTTTAAGCCGATTGCTCCTAACTTGAATAAAAATACATTTTTTGCTTATATTAGATAACCTTATTCAGAGAATATGTACACAGATTCTTGTAACTAGCATAAAATACTCGGTGCTCTGATGCGAGGTTCTAAGACCCTTACAAGCCGATCAAGTTCATCCATTATCTTCAGTTCCTTCTTCAGCTTCCCTCACTCGCCACAACCCCGTTTGGACACCCAGCTAAGGTACCTGAGCACGTATGACACAATTGCTCTCGCTAACATGTGAATGGCGGTATGCACATAGTTTCAAACATGACATCCTCGAGATCTTGAAGGAGGTCAGAAACATAAAAGTTGATGCCAGATTTGAGTTCAACGACTCTGAAAACCTGCGCACATCACACATACGAACCTACGTTTTAGAGGAGATGAATTTCTGGTAGCTAAGTAGTGGAAATAACAACTATTATATTTCATACATGAATCAATAGATGTGTTAATAGCACTATTTCTAGTAGCTGAATAACGGATTCACACCCAATTCAATGGATATGTTTCGAAGAGATAGTTTATTTGTTTTTGACACACATTGATTATCACATATGTGGCCTTATCCTGTCTGGCGAACGTGCGAATAGCCTCGTTTTAGTAACTGGTTTGTAGTTAGACTAAGTGAGCATGAAAGTGTCCACATATAAAACAGTTCTTGGTGGTGTTATATTACAATTTCGAATGGTCTGAAACCAAGCTAAGTGATAATTTAAATTTAGTAGTTAAATAAATAAATCCAATTAATGATATTTGCCAACAAGATTGATACACACAGTTTTCTTTTTTTTTAATACAAAAATAATTTTAATACACAAACATTAATACAATAATAATAATACAAACAATAATAATAATAAAACGTATGCAAATAAGGAAGGTGTTAAAGAGGACATTGACACGTTTTTTGCTGCAAAACAAATGATTTATTTAATCGGGGCATTAACAACCTGAGTGTAAGATGGAAAAGCATCATCGATAAGAATGGAGAATATTTCATTTAATAAATGTTTTGTTTTGATATATATGTTGTTCAGGTATTTTTCATCTAGAAAAGTGACATTAATTTCTTGATGACCTAATAGATACTGTTTGTTTTGGCGCGTCGCGTTGGCTATATTTATAGACGTGTGGAGAGTTTCTCGAAATTTCAGTTTTACCTAAGAATACTGACGCTAACACTAGCGTTTACGTACACACACATATACTGTTGATTCTTACTCTTGAGAATCTTCTACAACTTTAGAGAATAGGCCGGAGTTTCGCAACAGAGGTTTAACA